TTATCTCTCTCGCATTCACAACCCCCACCGTGAAGGTTTAATTTTGTCTCATTGTCTTTCCCTGATATAGATGCTCCATCCACCTACCTCTTGAGTGGGCATCATAGACCCTCTTCTGATTTTGCCACTGTTGGTATCTGTTTTAGTCCGTGCCCTCTCATCCAATCTATTTATACTGCTCTGATTTCCTCCATGCACCAGCTGACCTAGCACCCAGATCGTCTGAGCTTTGTTTTCTACTTACAACCTATAACACAAAGCCTGCATCTCAAGTCAAAAACCGCTCTCAGCACCAAGCAAGAGTGGATGTCTCCATTGAGATAGTGTTGCTTCTGTGCCAACTTGTGACATAACGAGTCGGCCGGATGCCCTACATTGCACCGTCTCCCTTGTTCAATTCGCGAATACGTCCTCAGCCGGCTTCCGCTGGCTCTTCACCACCCAATGTCCAGCATGGGCGACACAAATCTGAGCCATCTGTGAGTCTTGCGGGACATTCCTGCGGTCCACCGTTGCAAAAGTCGAGCTCTTACATCTATCGTCATCGACGAAGCACATCCAATCCCCAACAAACGTCGAACCTGGGGCAATTAAGCATAGACCCAAACTCGCACAGGAGGAGTAGTTCGTCGTCGAATACCATCCCCGCTGCAGCATTATGGAAATCTCCATCAGGTGCGATGATCCTGACAGGGGCTATGATCTCACCCCCTGACTCCAAATCAAATTCCAGTGATGATGAAGGGAGAGCTACAGAAGGACCAAAGAGAAATAGCCAGGAGGATCTCAAGGCAGCAATAATGTTGCTTGATCAGAATTCCGTTCAAGGTCAAGGCCCCACCAGAAAAGGACTTGGCTCCAATGCTACTTCAACTTCAAAACACACTCCATCACCATTGGATCTATCAAAAGCGTTAGCTACGGAGACGCAATCTCGCTTGCAGAAAGACGGATTAGGTGTGGCCCATCCCGATTCCTCGGAAGTAGTGACCCATACCCCTGAGGATAGCGACCGGGGCGAGGATGAAATGGATCTCAACACGAAGCCGTCTATGGTGCGAAAGAAGTCCGGGGAACTGGTAAGGCCGGCTCTTCGACCGAAGAGAAGACCCTGTAGTGCCCCAGGCACACCGGTATTTTCAAAGGCAGTCCATTTCGACTCTCAGTTGGAACATATCCGTCATTTCCTACAGCTTGACAAGCCCCTCGCCGTGAGCGCAGGTTCCTCC